TTGTTATTATTAATAATTCAGTTTGTGTTGGCATCCATCCGTTTTCAACTGCTTATTGTGCCAGGCAGAAGCTAATTTTATTTTATCTTATTTTTTATGTTGTTTTATAGTTTCGTATTCAACTTAATTTAATTATTATTATTATTTTGATTAAATAAATAAATAATGTATTAATTAATTTATTATTTTAGCTTATTTTCTTTTCTTTTATTTGTTTATTTAATTTTTATTGTATAATCTTCTCAACTAAATCAAATTTAATATTTAATTTATAAAAAATTTCATTTTTATGTTGTATTTTATTTATGTTTTAAACTTTAGTTATTTTTAATTGAATTGAATTTTACTTTACTTTATTTTATTTTATTTATTTGTTTGATTGTTTTATTTTATTTTCATTTATTTAATTTTAATTTTTAATTTTATTATTTTAAATATGATTTAACTTGTTGGTTTGTTTTAAAAGAATTAAATAAATAATAATTTTAATTAAATTAAATTTTACTTATTTTATTTCATTTATTTTACATTTTTTTTACCCAATAATATAGTTTTTTTCATTTAATTTTATATTTTTATAAATTTTTTTATTCTTTATTTAATTTATTTTTATATAATTTATTTTTATTTTGTTTTATTTTATTAGTGTTTCAAATTTTTGTATTTTTTTACTTTAATTTTACTTTATTTTATTTTGTTGTTTTGTTTATTTTTAATTATTCAGTAATTTTATTTAATTTTTCTAAATCATAGGCCACAGACTCGGATGATAATTGTTCTATCATCATGTTTCCCTCATCATGAGCGGTCAGTCTGTGGATGTTGTTCATGTGTGATGTGACTCACTGTAGGCTAAATCTATATTCCTGGTGTGTGTTTAATTTTAGATCGTCCTGCATGAAAGCTTTATAATGCTTGCGGTGGAAAAGTGAGCGTCTGTCTGCTCTAACTCTGTGTTTTGGGTCTGGCTCTGAAACAGAAATTAGCTCTTGATTCTGAATGAGCATTTCAGCAGAGATGCTGCAGGATTTATCTTTGTCTTTTTTTGAGCTGGTTTACAGACAACTGCACAAGTAAAGCCTACGGGACCCTAAACATATCAAAAAATTACACTCCTAATGTTCACACGTACATGGGTATTTTCCACGCTTTCATTTTTAAAATAATCTGTCCACATTAAAACGCATGTTAAGAATACTCCGAACCAACAGGGGGTAATGATGACATTTTTGCTGGATTCACACCAAACACAGAATTAAGCATTTTTGCGAATGAAATGCATACAAGCGTGAGAACAGAGGAGGATTAACATTATAAAAGTATTTCGTTTTTATCCGATTAATCATCAAAATAATTGCACAACTAATCGATTAACGAAATAATCATTGGTCGCAACCCTAGCAAATGTGCGTTTCTTAAACTGATAAAAGGATAAAAGTTAAAATAACCCAGAGAATTAACATCTATTATGCAAATACACGTGTTTATTTGTTACTTTACCGTTAAAAATGTATTTAGTTTTATTTGATTAATCGTCAGAATAATCACACAACTAATCGGTTATCAAAATAATCGTTAGTGGCAGCAGCTCCTGTAATGTGTGTTTGTTAAACTGATAGAAGGATAGATGTTAAAATACTTTACTTTTTTATGCGAATACATGTTCATTTGTTACTTTTTATTGTGCTCTAATAAAAAAAGAGACAATTAATCATCAATATTAAGGTGTAGCTACATTCATACAGTCTTATATAGTTATAACCGACTCTGTCAGTGTTCCCATCTTTACATTGTTGCGTCTTTAATGTTTGGGTCCAGATCTGGCTAGTAACATTGGAAACAGGAATGTGATTGGCCGGTTGTCAGCCAATGGTGGAGCGACATTTGTTTTGCTTAGCAACTGGACGGAGATACTTGTAGCGTTCATGGCTTTGTTATGTTTGCACATAGTTGAGCTTTTGTGAAGCTGAACACACACACACACACACACACATACGCACGCACAGGTCAGTGTTTTTAAAAGATCTCCTCTGCTCACTGAGATCAGAAACACATTAAATGTGTCATGATAACAGTTTTTGAACATATTTTAACATGCAAGTTATTCCTGTGACTGTTCAGCATCATCACTGTAGTCTTCTGACGTGATCCTTCAGGAATTATTCTGATTTCAGATCTGGATTGTGTTCCAACAATGCAGAGTACATCAAAAATTAGACCAAATATCATTCATTCATTCTGTTTCCAGCTTAGTCCCTTTGTTAATCTGGCGTGACCACAGTGGAATGAACCGCCAACTATTTCAGCATATGTTCTACACAGCGGATGCCCCTCCAGCTGCAACTCATCACTGGGAAACACCCATACACACTCATTCACACACACACTATGGCTAATTTAGTTAATCTATTCCCCTATAGCACATGTGTTTGGACTGTGGTGGAAACTGGAGCACCTTTCCCTGATTTAACCTATATATATATATATATATATATATATATATATATATATATATATATATATATATATATATATATATATATATATATATATATATATATACATATATATATATATATATATATATATATATATATATACACATGTACATATGTATATACATACACACACATACAAAAAAGAGAAAGAGGATAAGACAGATGTACAGGGGTGAACATGCGTGCTCGAGCGAGCGAGAGAGAGAGCAAGATCTCAATCGAAAGCGGTAGAGA